AGAGCGAATCGATGTCAGCCGCCGGCGCACGATGCAAATATGTTCTATCCATGATGGACCATCTAACCCGATTCACCGTGTTGACTCCGATTCCGAATAAATCAGCTGTCACAGTTGCTCAGGCTATCATTGACCGCATCATAGGCATTTTTGGACCGCCTGAGATGTTGCATTCTGATCAAGGGCCTGAATTTGAGATTAGTGTGATCCACCAGATACAGAGTATTCTGAACTACAAGAAAACCCGCACAACACCATATTGTCCGCAAGGAAATTCTGTGTCGGAACGACTACATTCAACGATGCACGCAATGCTTGCCATGCATAGTTCAATGAAGCGTGATAACTGGGCATCGCTACTAACTTTCATACAACTGGCGCATAACACTTCTTTTAGTGCTACCATGCATGAAACTCCATTCTTCCTCATGTTTGGCAGACATCCACGACTACCTGTCGATATCATTCTCGGTATTCCTCATGTAGGAACAACAGCCAATACCGAAGAACTTGCGAAAGACACGCGGGAAAAATTACAAATTGCTTTCGAATTAGCGCGCCGAAACTTAACGGAACGTACAAAAAAGCAAGCGGCGAGTAATTCAAAACTTAGACCGATTCCCGTGTTTAAACCTGGCGATCAAGTACTGGTATACAGACCATATCAGGATTCAGATGGCCCCAACCCGAAATTGCTGTTACCTGGGCGGGGACCATACGTTGTCTGCTCGCAACTATCACCCGTAGTATACCGAGTGAGACGCCCAAAAGNAGCGCGCCGAAACTTAACGGAACGTACAACAAAGCAAGCGGCGAGTAATTCAAAACTTAGACCGATTCCCGTGTTTAAACCTGGCGATCAAGTACTGGTATACAGACCATATCAGGATTCAGATGGCCCCAACCCGAAATTGCTGTTACCTGGGCGGGGACCATACGTTGTCTGCTCGCAACTATCACCCGTAGTATACCGAGTGAGACGCCCAAAAGAAACTCGAGAAGTTTCGGTTCACCTAGCCCATATTAAACGATATTTTGCGAGGAAAACACTGCCTGCACCCGACTTTGATAAACTCGCTGAGATCTTTTTAGTTAGGGCGACAGATTCCGTTACCCGCTATCGATCACCCTGATGAGGCCCAACCAAGAATTGAGTCTTATGTTGTAGACAAAGTGGTAAGCCACAAAAGTGGTCGGGGTCCGAGGACTCCTTTTAATTACCGATACCGTGTGCGTCTTCGCGGGTATGGCCCGGAGTCAGACCTCGAATACCGCGCAGATGAGGTACCACAATGTCAAGAAATGATAGTTGCATACCGAATCCGTTGTGGATTGGATATCGCGCTTCCTAAAACAACTTCGGTTCGCACCCTCAACAAGCAGGGGGACGAAGCATCACCCTGCCGAGCAAGCAAGCGAAGACGTAGCGAAGCAAGGAATTGAACAACAATGCCAGATATAGAGCGCTCAAAATATTATCTGCTGTTGTTCTGCGGCTCAAATTTGTTTCCTTTTTATATCAAGTTTTATTTTTAACGACATGGGGACGAGTTAAAACTATCTTTCTTTTTCCATGTCCTTGTGACATGGAGATAGTAATGACACGTTAACACTATCTTTTTCCATATCCTTGTGACATGGAGATAGTAATGAAACGTTAACACTATCTTTTTCCATACTCTCGGGACATGGAGATAGTGACGGTGAAAGGGGTTATTGTACATTTTTTGGTACACCCTTTTTTATTTTATTTTTTTCAGTGTTCTTGGGAAAACACTGGCGAGGAGAGAGTCTTATGACTTATTGTTGCTGTCAGCTTTGTTCAAGAAACCAACGGAAACCACGCTACGTGTGGATACGTTTTACGGTTTCAACAAGCGAACGACATATCGATTTCACCGGCCCCCATTTACGTTGTGTCCACTCCTTGGTTCTCGGCTATATCTTGAGTGCATTTTCGACGAAGATCCATTCAAAAAAAAAAAGACGGAATCAAGATATTAACACGGTTGGCCACGCGAACAATTTTCCGTGATTTTTTGTCATTTTGCGACATTTTGTTTTTTTTTTGCACTATCATCCAGCAAGCGCCTGATCCACGCGTGCTATTTTTATCTTGATTTCAAGGGAGGCCTGTGGAGGTAGACGCGTGAAATGTATGTTTTGAGCAGCGTCTACCGCCGCCCTGTGCGAGGATCAACGATTGCTGTTTTTCGCGATGCCTCCCGACTGGTCTTGTGTGTCTGTCGTACAATTTCTGGACCTCTTGCGTTTGTTTTCAAAATTCGTCAACATCAAT